TCAACTGCTAATAACACAATTACTAGCCACCATAATTTGTCAAATTGCAATAATATTACAAGAATCATCAGTCCAAAGGAAAATAATAGTAATTAGCTGCTGGTTAGTTGGGTCATAATAGATATTGGTTTATAAAATACAAAAGTTTGGGTAATTTTTAAAATTAAATTGTGATATTTTGGCCAAAACACAAGTCTAGAGCTAGTTTTGGAATTTGAAAATTTTATTTTCAAAATCTGCCAAAACATGGTTAAATCTATAAACAAACATGTTTTTGCCAAAAAAAAAAATATTGGAAAAAACTTGGCAAATTCAACTATCACCTCCTTTAAGGGATTTTCAAATAAAAAAATATTATATTATATTATATTATTTTATATTATAAGGACATTTAAAAATAATTATATGTAATTGTTAATAATAATATAATAATTATATGCAAGGACATTTAAGTGATAATCCTTTCTTGTTCCATAATGTTTGTCACTTTGCATTCGCTACAAGCCTACAACCAAGTTAATGGGAGGCGAATTCTGAATTTGAATTTTATTGGTTCAGATTTACAATTTTATCATATTTCATCTAATTTAATGTGCTCAAATTTTTACTATTTGTATATATTTAATAATTTTTTGGACGAAAATATAAAATATGAGCCAAAGATATAGACTCAGATGAACCTATAGCCTCTACACTGAATAGGCCCAACGTGTTAAAATAGTCTCAACAATCGATGATATTTACATTTGGAAGTAGAAAGGTCGAGATCGAAAATGATATGAATTTACTCTAAAACTTACTAATTCCTGTTTGAAATGCGAGAAAACTCTTCTTCTTTTGAAGCATATCAGTGGAATGACATTAAAGCCGGTTTGGAAAGTCACCTTGGAAATGGATTTGGGTGTAATTGGTGTAATTACATAGTTTGTCATGTTTGTTTGGTCAAGTAATATTTGGTCAGCATGGAATTGGGTGTAATTACACTGTCCAATTCTCAAGGGGGAGGTGAGAATTGGTGGTAATTACAATGTTATTTTTTAGTTTCTTTCCTTTTTGTTTTTATTTTAATTTATTTTCTTTATAACTTTTTATTTATACTATTTTAATTTTTTAATTTTATTTTACTTTTTAATTTCTTTTGAAATTTTAAAATATATTTTTCTTTGTACGTTATTTATCTTTTATTTCTCTATCTTTACTTTTTGTGATTTCATGTAATTGCTTATATTTTATTTCTTATTTATTTTATTATTCAATTTTTGAAATTACACCTCCTAATATTAGAAATAATGAGTCATTAACAAGCTTGGCATATAATGAGTGATGCAATTAAAGTGAAATTTCGTTGTTGAATGTGATTATAAACTTTTCATGTTTCCTAATCTTAAGTTGCAGTGGAACTTACTATTATTATGTTGGAATTTGACATATGTTAAATGATTTTATTTTATTTTTTGAATTTTCAAAATGTGTTATATTCATGGTTCCAATTTACTTGTTTTAGTAGTATTGGCTCACATTGCACGTTGTCCGTTTTTTAGTTAGAATTGATAGATTAGTTTTGTCAAACATTTGAATAATGTTATGACATTATATTTATAGATATTAATTTATTTTATCAAACATGAATTCCATGATGTTCTTACAAAACGTATATTTTTAATTTTTGTTTCTAAACTAAATATTATTAATTAAAATATATATAAATTATTTTTACAATATTAGTTATAAATATATAATTACTAATTAATGTATTTCACAAAAAAATATACATCTTAAATACCAAATATAATATTATTTATACTTATTAAAATTTGTACGCATATATTTATTATATTAGATTTTAAGTTTTGATAATTACTTAATTTAAAATTTAATCTAACAGTGTAATTACACTTGTGCAACCAAATAGTATATTTGTAATTACACTGTAATTACACTATGACAAACAAACATGTTGTCGTAATTACTAGGCTGTGTAATTACTACCCTAGTAATTACACCCATTCCAATTACAAAGTGGCTTTCCAAACAGACTCTTAATCTCGTATGCTTTAGTTCTAGATCTTGAGATTCAAGAAGATATTAAAATAATCTCGATTACCGTAGTTCTAGATAATGGGATTTGACTAGATATGTTGCAGGTTAATATGGTGGCAATATTTATTGTCGCCTAGGTTTTATATCACAATAAATTCATAAAAGAATCCAAATTTTAATAAAATATTTGCCACATCAGATATAGGTGATCCAAAATTGTGAGATCTCGAGTCGTAAGTTCATCAATGTTAGTTTCATTACTCTTTTAATGTTTTTGCTTCTATTTATTGGATTAGTTTTATTACTCATTTAATATTTTATCTTCAAATTATTGGTTATGATTGATATATTAAGTTGCTTCAGAATTCTTAGCTGTTCTTTGTCTTGTGACATAAATTTGGTGGTCAAATTGGCAAGACAGGTGATCACACTTCAATCTTGGTATCATAAAGTACCAAACTATAGCAACAAGAATTTAACTGATACACGTTGACAATCAGAAAGAATTCTTATTCTATCAATATATTTTTATATAATTTGTTCCATTTTCAAAGTTACTAATTTCACTTTCTTAAACGATTACCAATAATTACTCTATTTTTTTTAGTTGATTATAGTGCAAAAATTCTTTTATACTGTTAGCATAAAGATAAACTCTAGTAATTTTTTAAACTCAACTTTCTATTTTCTCTATAATGGTTAGTGTCTTAGTGATAGCAACAGCCTCTACAGAGACCAATAGGGACGACACCCTATTACCTCCATTGTAAAACAATGGCACACAATCTTTGGCATGGCTATCTGTATTACGTACTCTTTAGCTGATGGTACCAATAAAATTTTTTAGCCCCATTGCTTTGAAATTTCTTGTCTCAAAAGTACTCTGTTTCTAAAAAGAAAATGACTGAATTCAGTGAGTACTCTTTGACAGTCAGAATACAGTGTCAACAAATATTAGAGAAATTAGTTAGGCCCCGTTTGGCCATACATTTTGGCACCATTTTTTCAAATTTTTTTAAAACATTGTTTATTCATAGATTAATGATCTATTTTTGAAAAAATTTTGAAATTATTTTTCAAATTCCCAAAATTTAGTTTAGGGTAGATTTTGGGTGAAACTTGTTCTCCCGCTCACAAAACTTCAAATTTTTTTCAAATAAAATGCATGTCCAAACATAATTTCAACTTCCAAAAATTATTTTTCAAAACTACTTCAAAAATTATTTTTTCAAGTTTCAACTAAATATATGTCCAAACGCTAGCTTAAACTCTCCGGATAATACTAGTATTACTCCTACTATACTTTCTTTTGTTCCCAAATTTTTTAGTATAAATTTCAAACAAGGTACTATTAAAAAAATAATCCATATATGGACTGTAAGAAGCAGAATATTGGGAAGAAAATTGAATGAGAGAGTTACGTGTTTGTCTCTCTCAAAGATCCTATAAAGATATGTGCAGAAGATATAAGAAAAGAGGAAAGAACTGGTGGATAGTCCATATTTCCTTGATTATCCAGCTGGAGAGATTGATCGATCATATTGCTTCTGGTGTTTGAACTCACATAAATCAAATAGTGAATCCACTTATCCAGTCTGCTTACATTATAGCACCAGCTTTAATACCATATCATTATCATTAAGAATCTATCATAAATAAGTTGTTTATGTAATCATGTTTCCACTTACTACTTAATTAAGAGCACAGAGAGGTTAGAGCTATGTGATGAGGCAAAAGGTTTACTCATTGACCTCTCGGTCCACTCTCCTCCCCTTGTTCGGTTATATTCTACTCCCTCCGGTCCAAAATAAGTAATTTTTTGGATGTTTTCACACAAATTAAGAAATCCACCTTTTAGCATTAATTAGCAATGGAATTGACCATATTAACCTTTACTATCTCACATAAACACTCCAGCACATATTCCAACACCATTTACTTCAAGGACAATGTAAGAAAAAAATAATTAATTCATTCTTGAAATCTGAAAAAATCACTTATTTTGGACCACAAGAAAAAGGCCAAAAAACCACTTATTTTGGACCGGAGGGAGTAGTGACTTGCCCTGTTAAGCAATGAGTTTAGGTTCTATACACTAATCACTAATTGTGCAAAAATGTTTATACAATAAGATCATTTATAAAGTAATTATATGTATATTTCTATAACAATCATTAAATGGTAATATGATAAAAATGAAAAGTAACACGTGATCATATATTAAGCTATATTAATAGTGTAAACAATCTTTACCCTGTGAGTTACAAGTCCTTGAGCAATTAGTGTATACCCTTCGACCAGAATATCATATTAAAACATCTTGCTAACTTTAGATTTTCCTAAATTTCTACTTAAAATCGCACAAGGGGAAAATGATAGAGACAGCTACTTTTGGAGAGCCAAAGTCCACAAAAGAACGAACTAGTAAGATGCAAAGATGGGATTACTTTGACTTACTCAAATTCTGCCTCGACCATCACTGTGTACTGACTATTGACAGACCGTGCGATGGCTTGTTTTTTTACTTTTCACACAACACAATTCATAGTTCTAAAGCAAAAAGAAGTGTGAATCTTTGCCAATCCAATTTGATGCACATGACATGATCTTACGGTCAAAGTTGAAAAGGCATGCTACCCCTTTTGAAAATTTTGGAGGTGTACAAGTTGAGCATGAGTTGCGATGGTCATCATTACACTTCCCCTGCATGATTGAATCTGAGAAACATAATGAATGTTTGAGTGTTTGACTATTCCTCCAAAAAATGCTTACTTTTTCATTTTCTATAAATATAGTGTACGAGCTGGTTTGCGCGCACAAATTATCACAATCAATTGCCGCCTTTCATTAATTGGCAGACTAAATTTATAGTTCCTCAAAGTTAAATGCAGTAGTCTCTAATACAAGCTACTGTTCTTAGCTACAAGGTCTGCATGCAAGTTTTACTTATGTAAGTCATTATGCCAGGTAATGTGCCTTCAAGAATTAAAGAAGATAGAGATAGTGATTCACCAAAAGAAAGCGACAGTCAACATTACAAGGAAAGCCAACTAATTAGTATGGAAGTGTAATCTTAAATCATTTATACTTCCATCAACTTTCTTCTTCCACCAATTAAAACATGAAATGCATGTCAACTAATATCTACCACATTGACTAAAGATATCACAGGTCATTTGTTGGTCATTGAATCCATGAACGCCTTTTGCCGCACACAAGCATTCATAAGATCCGTCATTTTCTAGTTCCTTCCTTGAAAAAGACCCACCATGAGTGCTCTACAGACCAACAGCTTCCAGCTTTAGTATTTATGTGAAGAGAGGCTGTCTAACACAAAACTCAACTACCACGTTTGAAGTGTTCTTTTATGAATTTTTCGGCATAAGAAGGGTACTTATCTCGAATGTACTGTCTTAAACACTTCTGGTAGGAAAAGTCTATCCATCCACCATCAGTTCTTACGACAAAGAGACACCTAGAACGTCTGAACTGGGGATGCCGATCGACCTACAACATAGAGAGGCTATTAGTCAACTCAAAAAAGCAGATATTTTCATAACCAGTATCAAAATTACTGCCTCTTTACATGATGCCACTTATATTAAAGACCTGACTGCTACATTAGCAAAACCAACTGTATAGAAGAATTACTCAATGATCGAATGTAGTTTGAGATTACAAATCTATGCACAGGAATGAACGAGAAGAATAATGCAGTTTGCACACAATGACTAAATGCTAATGCACCAAACTAAACCAAAAGTCAGTTCAATCTCTACTAACAGATCAAGCAACCACAGTATCTTCTAACTATGCAACCAACCATAATGGAGTCGAGGCCACATCCAATTTTATCCTCACAATGGGGATGGTAAGCAAGAAGCTTGTCTACCACTATTTTCTCATCTTCTGCTGTCAGACGTTCTCCATCCATATACCTGGGAATGAGGAAAAGCCCGAACATTAGGGTAAAATTCAACAGACAAGCAAGAGAGATAATTAGTAAGTAGAAGAATAAGCATCAAGATACAAAAGACAGTAAATAAAAGTATAAAAGGACAAAATAAAAAGAATCTGCACATACATAGCTATATAGTAAATTCATAACCTTTTAAACATAGCAACTTTTTTTTTCTCGATAAGGATGTTAAACATAGCAACTTCAACTGAAAATTAACAGGCAATACCACCCCATTTCATAACATTACTGTTTTTTACTTGAAGAGAAGATCATTTCTTTGTTGAGAAAGAAGAGGAGATCGTTTTCTATTTTCAACTTCACACTAGCCAAATTAGATGAAAAACAACATAACAGAAATACATTAAGCCATATAGGATAACAAATTACAGCAACAGCTATGCTTCAGTCTCAACTAGTTGGTCTAGAGGACAATAAATTTAAACAAGGTATTAATATATAAAGATCCGATTTACTTTTTTAAAAAGCAATCAAATCTTGCGCCTTCAACTGAAAGCTAATTGAAGTTTATAATAGTGGCAATGCATTTTCTAAGCAATTCATCAATGAGAAGGAAGATGGATTTTCATTCATAGCAAGCTAGACCCTGAAACACTATGCAACGCCAAATATGGTATCCTTGTGCACTTTCTGAAGTAGTAAGAACTAAGAACTAAAGAAGAATAAAAACTAGTAATTACCTAAGATCTTTTACTAGAAATTAATTTCTTGAAATTCTTTTCTTCGCCTAAAGTCCCATTGAAAACCTTACTTCCTGACTTTCGATTGCTACCAATATAACCAGAATAGAGCAGAAACTGTCAAACTATTGCAGAGAGGGTGATGCAGCACATAACGAAAACATACAGAGAAGCCTAAAGAAAGTTCTTTTGCTCATACCTTTTGCAAGTGTAGGACTTCCACCTCACTTCAGTTTTATTATATCTTTTGCAATAATTTCGGGTTCATTAGGTACTTATGGTAATCTCCAGGCTCATTGTGGCAGGCACAAAATCCTGGAATGTTGCTGAACTTTTATTTTTGGTTGAGTAACGTTATCATTCAGATTACTGAAATGTTCTCTAGCACCTACGGGCAGCCCTGTGCACTAAGCTACCGCTATGAGCGGGGTCCGCGGAAAGGCCGGACCATAAGGTTCTAGCACCTAAGGAATCTTATTCTTTATGCGCTGTTACTTTTTCATAGGATGCAGCACAAAGTCTAAGAGTTCGCTCATAAAAACATGTTGACTCCTTCTGCTCAGTGCATACTTCAAATTACACCACTAACACTCAAGGCAACATAGTTATTACCTCAGCCATAATGCGCTATGCTGATAGTAACATTATTTATCAATGACTTCTTACAATAATTTCAGAATTCGTAAGAGTTCTAATTGTTTGGTGATCTTCTCGGAGGCACAATTCCTCTGGCATGGTTGTAAAAAATTATTGTTTACCGAATATAGTCAGGAAAGAAAGGTTCCTTCACATGGTTCATGAATCTTGAAGTTAACAAGAAAGTGCAGATCTAATGAACTTTTCTCTCAAAACATAAAACGAGCTCATCACTAGAAATCCTATTGCCAAATCGAAATCCATTTCTTTGCTCTTCCGCCAGTTTTATCTCCCAGAACTGATCCATGATGATCTAGGAACTATAGCAATCCAAATGTCTTTGCATGCCACAGGGAAAATCTAAATAAACCTGCATTCATTTCCTTGTGAATAATAGGTTTCCCTGTGGAAAAGATGAAAGAGTACTTTAACTTGATCAGATACCTCATGCTCACAAAGGCAGAACATTGATGTATTATTGCTAAAGGAGCCCGACACCTAAATCGGAGAGAACAACTACTCGAAATTGGATAGTAACTCGCAGACGCAGTGAAGATGTAACCATAAGGAAATCTCAAGGAAGAAAAGCACATCAATGTGATGATAGGGAAAGTCATAGAAGGCATTAAAGATAATTGTAGAAAGGCCTTCCCCAAACAAACTGACTCTTGGCAGTTTACGTTAAAGTTAATACTTCAGTGTCTGTATCTTCAGAAAAGGAAAAAAAGCTTTTGCATTTTGAAAAAGAAACACTTTTAAAAAGGATTTTCCCTCTTCTCCACCAATGATCTATACCTAAGATGTACAGCTAGAACTGTACTCTAGAAAGCTATTCAGGCAGTAAACGTGCTTTGACTCTGAACTTTGCTTTCAAAGAAAAAAGCACTGAGAAATAGTTATCATTCTCATCTATCAAAAAAGGGAATATCATTGATCACTTGAAGAGACTTAGGCATAAACGGCATCCTTCGTGTAGACTGGTGGAATACACAATCAGCTGAGTTCATGTTATTAGAAGAAGAGGGTCCAAACAAACTACCAGATCAACACTAGTCAACACCCAAGGAACTCTCCCATGATCACTACCCAGCAAGCATGATAACCCTGCCTTCACAGCATTATGAGTCGCACTGAGTCATTTGGCGTGGTTTGGGGGGGGGGGGGGGGGGGGGTTGTTATTTGCAAGGCCTCGTGGTCAACAGCAACAAACCACTATCATTGTCCACCATAATCAACCGTTCATAATGATCGATTAGAAACACCGGCATTTATGTTGCTTCCGAATATATAAACAACCCCAACACATTCAATAGAAAAAGAACCCAATAACAACACTTCATCAACAGAAAAAAAAAACCCAATAACGGTAACAAAGAAGGGTGGGAGAATATCAGAAACACAAATAATGTTTCGACTTTCGAGAAAGCTAGTCCTCATTATTATCTGTTCTTTTCCAGTTTTCACTTGTGTTTTATTCTGTGAGAACACTACTGATTTGAGCGTTTCAATTTGACAACCAGGATACCCCAAGGCTTTGGTCTAGTGGTGAGAATGCAACACATGATGTGTGTTGAAAACCCAACCGCAGATAAGTGGAGAAATACACCGAGTTTCAAACCTTGCGGTATTAGTCCTTAGGGTTTTCTCGTTATTGGAAAGAAAAAGAAGAGAAGAGTTGACTCCCAGGATCCCTGGGATTCTCAAGTCAAATATCTCTTTTCTCTTTTGTCTCTACTCCATGAGAAACATTTTTTTATGAAGTTGGCTTCTTCCAACTTGAGATATTCACACCGAAGCCAGCACCGAAGACCAACACAAGAAAGGATCGACGTTCAGACAACTTCACAAAGATCTCTCAAGTCGGAGATTCAAATATAATTCAATGATCAACAGATCTTATTTCAAAATTCTGATTTAATATTATTGCATTCAGACAACTTCACCAAAATCTCTCGGGTTGATTAAGAGCCAATCCAGTCATCAACAATCTTATTGTTCAATCTAACTCAGTATTATATTAATTGAAAATGTCATAAAAATACGATAACCAGATAGAGAAAAGATAGTTTGACAGAAAATATTTGGAATCAGAGAGAAAGAGAGATAATAAAGATAAAAGAAACAGATGTTGTAGACAAAGAAAAAACTTTTAAGGCTGGCTAGCATTGTTCTTGTTATGTGAATACATTACATAGTGACACAGAGGAGAGGAAAGGGAAAGAAAAGGGATAATCTAATCCCGCCTAGACCCAAAACAACCCAATTGTAGGGTTGCATAATGAATTGACGTTCGGGTTACTTATAAGTTCTCACAGCACTCTTCTAATGTATAACTACATCAGTTTTGATTATTCTTAACAGCATGAAAATTTACTTTATAAATGACGAGAATTGCACCAAAACAAGCATGATCTGAATTGGAGAGTTCACGTCAAAAAGGTACAAGGCCTTTAGGCCAATTGTGTTCTTGCTTTGTGGCCATAATTCTTATTTACCACTTTTTTAACAACAGTTTTAAGATAAAACTGTTGGCCTAACTAATGACTCACATTTAGTTATCAACCACAGAAACCTTGGATATCCTCATAGTAATGATTGATCAATATTGTACACAAATCATGTTTAAGCTAGTATCAAGTAAAAAAATTACATTAATTTACTTATTTGAAATAAAAGGAACTATATTGTAAGGAGTTACTTTAAACACCAATAATAGTTGACACAGGACACATGCGCCAAAAAAACAAAAATCAAGTATGCCTGTTTAAGTCAATTTTTAGCGTAATATTTTTTGCAATCATATTCATGTCTAATTCTCAATTGTGTTAAGTATTGATGTTAGGAGTTCCACAAATTGTTGATGTCTTGATAATGGTTAATTTGTTTCAAACAAATTTTATTCAAATAAAACTAGTTAATGAACTTCTCCCAAATAAAACTACACAATGCATCTTACGTTAGTCTCATTACTATATTTCTATCATTTCAACTCTCTACGTCAAATTATTTAGAAAAGCTAAACGCTACCTAAATCCCGAGATACTTGTCCTGCTTTCTAATTCATTCTAAAAGTTGTTTCTGTTTCTTGAGATGTAAACTTGTTTTTCTTATACTACCATATAGTCCCTTTAAATATAGCATTGACAGAGTGGCATTATACCTGCAGTTAAAGGTTTAAAACTATCATAGAGTTTGACTTTTTCCTTCATTTACACATCATTCTCATACAAAAAAAAAGTTCAAATCATTCATAATCTCTAGCTGCAGAAAGTGGTAGTAAGTAGTAGATTATCATTGACTTACTACTGTTTGGAGGATACAGAAGCAGACCTACACGATCAGCTTTCCAATTCAATAGGCAAAGAATTATAGGTCATTTTCTAAGATTTTCTGGATCTTTGGTGCTAAAGGATCTTAGTGGTTAGCCTAAGCTCAGGCTCCTCAAGGTGGAATTCACAGTCTTTACTTTGCTTCTTATCATTCTCCGACTATTGAAGTCCACACGCCACTCTTCTCAGGGGCGTACGCAGGATTTCTCGTAAGCGGTGTCAATATTTAAAGAAATAGATGAAAAATCCAATATAATGATATCATATACTAAAAAAATACAGTTCAAATCATATTAATAAAGTACATTACTATAACTCTCCTCAGTGAGTGTTTATTTACTCTTTTGGAATGGACTTATAATATTCCAATTGAAAATAGTACTTTTTGTAGGAAAGAACCAAACATAATCACTAAAAGACTATTCATTTGTTTTTTATATCAATTTCGTCGCCAAGAAAAGAAAAAAAAAAGGATAGCAAGATAACTTACAATAGAAATAGTTGCAAGCAACACACAAAATCCCCAAAATTGCAAATTGCAGTGATTTTTTTTTGTTGGGGTCTTAAATTTGATGAAATAATTACATTCCAAAAGACATTGAAATCAATAATTCTTTGCTTTTGTTTGACGCTTAGACCCTAGACCCAATAGCCAACAATGCTCAAACCTTAAAAAACAAAACAGATGTAACCACTTGGTTCGAACCCGCAACGTCTCACTAGTATTCATTTTAGGCAATTTACCGTCTGAGCTGAGTATTCGTGTGAGAAGTTTCAATTTATTAACTAGTTATGTCGTTTTTGCTACTAATCAAATACTCTATATTTAGCAAAATTTTCCGACGAATCGGTGTCAGATGACACCGCTTAAGCTAAGGTGGCTCCGCCCCTGACTCTTCCTATTCGCAGAAGCAGCTGCAGTTTTGCTTTCATTGCTGAAACAAGTTCTTTTAAGCACAAAGACTAATGCTTTCCTTATTTCTAGAGCCATAGGATATATTATTAGAACAATAGCGTTCATAAAAAGCTGTCATTGTGTTACCCTCTTGTAGGAGAGTGATTGCTTAGTGTTTTGCTAATGTTCAATTTCTCTTGGTCCAAAAGTACTAAAGGTAAATGAATTAGCATCCATATCAAATTAAAAGTAATGCATTTGCACAAATAAAAAGCAAGCATTAAGCCACAATCAACACACCAGAAGCTCAAACGAGTAGCTGTGAAATAAATGCATTGGTAACCTGCATGAATATATTAATCGACTTATAGTGAAGAACAAATGTTAAAACAATGATTGAGAAGTAAAATAAAACAATTAAAATATGGAATAGTTTACTGAATTTGAATTCTTCAACGGGGAGCTAGTTGTATAAAATTAAATTGAGACCACGAGAGTAAATTAAAGAAGAAGATAGCATACCTATCGGAGTGGATAATTTCTTTGGCGAGGAAAATAACGGGCTCAATTTCTTTGAGTATCTGAGTTTCTCGTTCTTTCCATTTTCTATAGTCCGGGTCGGGCCACCTCGGGTACTTGGGCGGGTCCTTGGTCCTTAGCACGGTGGTAGTATTTTCCTCATTGGATGCAGCGTCATCGTAGGGCTGAGCCGATTCGGAAGCAGCTGAAAAAAGCCTTGGAGCAAGTAATACGAAGCTAGGACTCTGGAGACGTTGATTGCAGAAGCGGAGCCGGAGAAGAGGGAACCCTCTGAGGAGCAGCGGAGCAGCCATTGTTAGCGTTTCTGTGAGTGATCAGTAGTTTTGACTATGACCCAAAAGTAGAGGAAAAAACCAACATAGTCCCTTAAGTATGGGTATTGAAGAATTTTGGTCCTTTACAAATATCCTACTGAACATAGACATTCTTTATATTTGCAAAAGTGGACAGTTTAGGCCAAAGATTTAAAAGACTTCCTATAGCTAAGGAGAAAGTAGCAACTTCTATAATTGAGAGACGAAGCATTAAATTATTATGTTATTTCTTTTTGTTTATTCTTTGTGTGTGAGTGTGCTAGTTTAATATCCACACTATTTCTCAATACTGACTGAGCATATCTAGCATGTTAGTGACCATATCATATGTGAAATAAGACTTATTCTAGAAAAATATGCTTGTAATTAATAGCAGGTTTATATACATAGTATGTTATGATTGAGTATGATAAATGAGGAAGAAGGTGTAGCGATGAGCATGAAGTTTTGGCTGGCTTCAATATGCTTTCTAATTCTTTGAGCATTACTTTAATCATTCTGATTCTTATTATTCTATACAAGTAGTCTGCCGGTCCTTGGTTTGGTCTTGATGATGCACTATAATGCCTCAATTCTAGGGGCAGGAAGGAACTGAGCGCACCAGCGAATAAAGACAACCTAAAACAAAAAATGGAAGTCTAAGCCTTTACAGCTGAAACTGACATAAAAAATACTTCACATGTATTCTCCGCCGGAGTTCAGACCTTAATGTTTGGCCATAATACTATATTTTTAGTACATTACTCGCCTTACATGTTATCAGTTTAATGGTTAATTGTGCTACATTTAAGCTAAATTATGTTGTTTTATGTGTAGGAGCATCGAAAGACAAAGACGAGTAGAAGGCCGCACGAAAAAAGAAAAAAATACAAGAAAAGAGCACAAAAGCACGAAGTGCCCAAACCTGGCGCCAGGCCAAGAGTCGCCAGCTCTATAGCATGCTGCTCCTCGCTATAGACCTCGCGCCACCTGGCTTAAGGCGAGCTCAACCTGGCATTACACCAGGCATCACCTGGCTTATGGCGCGCTACAGACCAGGCTTCGCCTGGTTTATAGCCTGGTCCCCCTGTATGCGAACAAATTATTTCTACTAAAATTTTGAACTTGGAGACTTCTATCCTAGCCTATAAATACTCCCTAAACATGTCTAAGAGGGTGATTGGATATTTTTTATAGGGGAAATTTGACCTAAGGGGGCAAGGACACGCTAGGAGTAAGGCCGATAATTCTTATAAGAGTTTTTCTTTTCTTCTTCCAATTTTTCATTATTGGTTACAAATTTGTGTATTGTATTTTTAAATACTATTATGAATAGCTAATTTATTTCCTAGGATTTTGATAGAACCTTTTGTCAGATAAATTCTTATTTTGTTTTTATCTAATTGAGCAGTTATTTCTCTATTTGTTCAACTACGTCCTTATTATTGTTGATTGAATGATCATCAATTGTGTCACGACCCGGATTTTCCACCCTCGGGAGTCGTGATGGCGCCTACTCGTAGAAGCTAGGCAAGCCACAGTCTTAGAAATCATTAACTCTTTTTGTTTTTAATTCCCTTTTTAACCAATTAAATTTACCGGAAATAAACAAATAAAATACAGCGAAATATGAAATTTAGCGGAAGTCTTAAATAAAATATAAAACCAAAATATCCTGAAGACTAACACATGCCTCTAACCAGAACCTGGTGTCACAACATCCACGGACTGTCTAAGATTACTACGAATAAGTGTTTGAAAAAAAAAACATAGTCTGTCTCAGTACAAATGGACAACAGAACATAAAAAACTGAAAGAAGAGACACCGGGCCTGCGAACGCCAGCAGGGCTACCTCGGGAGTCTCGGACGTGAAGGATAGCTCCCAATCTACTCCTGTGACCAAATGCTACTCCGGGACCTGGATCTGTGCAAAAGAGCACAGAGTGTAGTATCAGCACAACCGACCCCATGTGTTGGTAATGCCTAGCCTAACCTCGGCGCAAGTAGTGACGAGGCTAGACCAGTACCACATAAACCTGTTGCAATTATATAATATTACAGCGGAAACAAAGCAGAAATAAACAAGTAAGGATGGGAGGGGAAACATATTGCGGGGAGATAACAGTCCGAATAAAGCATCAAAGTAAGGAAATGAAACAACATAACTCAATTATCAGCAAAAATCAGGAAAATCAAAGACAAGTGTACGGCATCACCCTTCGTGCTTTTACTCTCGTCCTCACCAAGCAATGTTATAATGAAAACGTGCACGGCATCACCCTTCGTGCTTTTACTCTCTTTACTCACCAAAGCAATTAGAATAATAAATGTGCACGGCATCACCCTTCGTGCTTTTACTCTCTTTCCTCACATAAAATCAATAGAATCGGCATGGATTGGTACATCGTGCGGCACGACATCACCCTTCGTGCTTTACACTCTTTTCTCACAATAGCAAACAATGCACGACATCACCCTTCGTGCTTTAACACTCTTCCTCACCCAAACAACAATCACAAACAAGGGCAAGGGAAATAAACAAGAACAAATAGGAATCCCGGCAAGGGAACAACAATTAAATAATTAAATCCCGGCAAGGGAACATTCCAATAACTCTTTCTCTATCTTTCAATTTTACTCCATAACTCGCTTTACCACTTGAGCTAATGCTCCAAAGGGTTCAATCATCTCATATACTTTTCACAATTCATAATATAACTCGAGTTAATGACTCCAAGATGTTCAAAAAGGACTCAATTCCTTACCACAAAACCTTTCACAACAACTAGAAATCATCACCAAGGCATGAAGAATACAATGAAATCAAGATATTCACAATATAAAGACTCACGGTCATGCTAGACACCGACGCATAGATACTCGTCACCATGCCTATACGTCGTACACGACTAATACCACATAGCAAATAGGACTCAACTCCTAATCCCTCAAGCTAAGGTTAGACCAAACACTTACCTCGATGCCTTGAACACAACTCAAGTCTCAATTATAGCTTTACCCCTTGATTCCACCGCCAATTCGCTCGTATCTAATCACAAATTACTTAATTACATCAATAAACACTAAATGAATCAACCCCAATGCATGAAAATGAGTTTTCCAAAGTTTTACCCAAAAAGTCAAAAATTGCCCCCCGGGCCCACGTGGTCAAAACCCGAGGTTCGAACCAAAATCCGATTACCCATTCCCCCACGAACCCAATTATATAATTTATTTTGAAATCGGACCTCAAATCGAGGTCCAAATCCCTAATTTTTGAAAAACCTAGGTTCTACCCAAAACACCCAATTTCCCCCGTGAAAATCTTTGATTTTAGGTTGAAATCATGTTAAAAGATGTTAATGATTGAAAGAAATGAGTAAAAGCTAACTTACAATTGATTTGGAAGAAGACTTGTTCTTGAAAAATCGCCTAAGTGTGTTTGGGTTTGAGAAAATATGAAAAATGAAGCTCAAAATCGTTTAAGTGTAAAAATTGCAGGTCTCTGATATGGGAAATGCGAACAGGGGTTCGCAATTGCGAACCCCGACCACTGCAGATATGGGAATTGCGAAGCATTGTTCGCATTTGTGAACGCTTCAAAAACTCCGGACCTTCGCATTTGCGAGACCTAGGTCGCATTTGCGATGGTCGCATTTGCGACATACTGATCGCATTTGCGATCCCTGGCCATCATGGGCACCTTCGCATTCGCGAAGTAAATTATCGCATTTGCGATGAAGGGTCAGGTCTGTGCAGCCAGTGGCCTATCCAAAACTCACCCGAGCCCTCGGGGTTCCAAACCAAATACACACACAACCTCAAAAACATCCTACGAACTTATTCGTGCGATCAAATCGCCAAAATAACATCATAAACATTGAATTAAACCTCAAAATCCATGAATTCTTTCAAACTTCATAAAACATCAAATTTTCCAATTTAGGTCCGAATCACGTCAAACGACGTCCGTTTTCAACCAAATTTTACAGAAATGACTTAAACCATATATAAGACCTGTACCGGGCGCCAGAACCAAAATACGGGCCCGATACCAACAAGTTCTAATCAATTTTCACTTCAAATTTCCTTAAACAATTTCAGAAAATAATTTTACTAAAAAATTCATTTCTCGGGCTTGGGACCTCGGAATTCGATTCCGGGCATACGCCCAAGTCCCATATTTTCCTACAAACCCTCCGGGACCGTCAAATCACGAGTCCGGGTCCGTTTACCCAAAACATTGACCAAGGTCAAATTTATTCATTTTAACATCAAAACTTGGTATTTTTTCACAGAATTTCATATTTAAGCTTTCCGGCTATGCGCCCGAACTGCGCACGCAAATCGAGGTGACTCTAAATGAGGTTTTCAAGGCCTCGGAGTCATAGAATTCAATTAAAAATAGGTGATGACCCCTTTGGGTCGTCACATTCTCCACCTCTAAAATAACTGTTCGTCCTCGAACGGACAGAAGAAAGAAGTACCTGAGTCGGGGAAAAGATGAGGATAACGGCTCCGCATATCTGACTCGGACTCCCAGGTCGATGCCTCAGGAGGCTGACCTCTCCATTGAACACGAACAGAAGGGAAAATCTTCGACCTCAACTGACGAACCTGCTAGTCTAGAATAGCCACCGGCTCCTCCTCATAAGACAAGTCCTTGTCCAACTGGACAGTGCTGAAATCTAACACGTGGGCTGGATTGCCGTGATACCTCTGAAGCATGGACACATGAAACACTGGATGCACGGCTGATAAGCTCGGCGGCAAAGCAAGTCTATAAGCCACCTCCCCTACTCGATCAAGAATCTCAAACGGACCAATGAACCTAGGGCTAAGCTTGCCCTTCTTCCCAAATCTCATCACGCCCTTCATAGGCGACACTCGGAGCAATACCTGTTCACCAACCATAAAAGCCACATCTCGAACCTTGCGGTCTGCATAGCCCTTTTGCCTGAACTGAGCTGAACGAAGCCTATCCTGAATGATCCTGACCTTGTCCAAGGCCTCCTGAACCAGATCCGTACCCAACAACCAAGCCTCTCCCGGCTC